ACTGATAAACTACCAAATTTCATTAACATTCGCTTACTAATCTAAAAGTTATAGCATGAAAACTATAACAATCACAAAATGGTTACGAGCCGAGTCAAAGGGACCAAGCCCTGGTTCAAAGAGTTAACCCATCACAATGTTTAACACTTCCAAGTTTAAAATAGTTCAACTTTATCTTCTTAAGAGTCCACCTGTAATATTTTAAAATCAAACCACAAGAAAAATCACTGCAAAACATCAAATAGGATGAAACTGTTACAAATTGTAACATTTAAAAGACATGGAATAAACCAGTATATTTTTAAAAAGATATAAAAAAATCATTACATTTCTAAAATTAGATGAAACTGGACAATAAAATAAATGGTTAAATAAGGAAGTTTAACAAGATTAATTCCTGGAGTAGGTATGGGAGAAATCAAAATAAAATAGCAAAAAACAGTTTTGAAATAAAATTTGTAGATAATGCAATCCGATTCTAAAAGGTTTTGGAACTTTGAAACGTAGAGCTAAAATTACAAACAAGATCCTTAGTTTATTTGTTCAAAGTATTAAAAGCGTAATAACTCTTAAACTATCTATGAAAATTACTATCTAATCTATCAGTTTAATACTCAGTTTTGTCTGTCCTTAAAATGCACACACACTTCATTTCAATGGATGTAAACAAAATGAAGATGTAAATATACCTTAGCAGACATTTTGTATAACATTAATAGCTTAAAGTTTTTAAAAATGTCTAACATTAGGTCAGAATAAAAAACGTTTATTTACTGACAGTATTAAGTACTATAAAAGTTTAGCTGTAACTAAACTAAAGCAAAAAACTTAAACAAGTTACTGTTAACTTATCTCTATATCAAATATAGTCAGTACTTGATAACAGCTTGACTAATGTTAGGCCTAAGACAAGTGGACTTTTAGATTTTGGTGTCTGCAATTAAATTATTTTGTATTATTCTAGAAATCCTGCATTTAAAGAAGTACTGTTGTAATAAAGATACTAATTTGACTGCAAATGTTTTGCAGATCTCTGCTAGTCCATCATACAATCAAAATTAAAATGGAAAAGTGTATACAATTTTGAAGGATTTAAATACTAAAACTTCTAGTCTAGATAGCCGTTATAAAACACTTGAGTTATTACAAACTCTGTACGATGTCCATATTTTGCTAAATAAAGTTTACAATTCTAAATTCCCTCACGAAATTTGTTGCTTTAGGATGAGTAGTTTTTAAATTGTAATAATTTTAAACTTGTTTTTTTTTTCATCATCTCTTACCTTTCATAAAATAATTACTGCATACAAGCGAGTGTTTTGTGGTTATACATGAAGCGTTACCAGGTTTGTCTTATTTTAACTCTTTCAGCACAGGCTCAGTCCCAGGAAACAACCTCAACCATTTGTGCTTGTTAGAGTTTAAGCTATAACTTTTAAATTAGTAAGCATATCCTCACAAACTTATCAGATCATCAATAAACATTACAAGGTTTTTGTATGAAGTTTTGAGCAGACTAAAGATACACCCTACCTCCACGAAATCTTGGTTCAAAAAAAAAAAAGAAATAGCATCCAAACATGTTAAAATGGCTGAGGAAGCCACTAGGGGTACATTCTGAGTTCCTGATTGGTTATTTATGTCATATATAGATGTAAGTGTATATAAGAGGTGGGCGGGGTGCCAATGTATTTCATTGATTACATGAGCAATATCTTAGCAAACTGAAAAGATAAGAGGCTCTTATTTTATATTCTAGCTTGTCAATATCAGTAATTTGAGTTCCTAATTTGCACAAAACTATAGACTTAGTATTTTGACATCACAAACATCTTATTTGAACCAGTGCTACATTCGACATACTACATGACACACAAAAATCGATATTTAATTGTTTTTTTAATATTTACTTTTAAATTAAGAAATTAAGGTATAATACTAAAATTTGAATTATAATCTACAGTTTGATACCAAACATATTGACATAAATTCATGAAATAGTAGTTCAATAAAATTTTGAATGTGAGTCAAATACAATGACATGGCCTTTCAACTGTGACCCATCTAGAAAGGGTTAAGAGAAAAATGATTTTGCAAGGAAGCATACTTGACTTATAACATTTTTCCTGTTGGAAAACTTGCATATTATAATGAGAGTTTGTATAACATGCTGTTTTTTAGGAACACATTCCACAAGTTATAGCAGATATACCTGTCCATATGCACATACATTATTACTATTCACAAACAAGTTCTTAAACTTATTTTTCTTAAAACATAGAACACTAAATGAAGAAGTATAGCAAACAATTACCTCTTCTAGTTGCAAACTAAGCCTTATCAAATTGCACACATAGAAGATCTGAAATGAAGTATTTTTTTTAGGTTTTAAAGGCTCAGAGAACCATGTGGGGGACATTCTGAGCTTTTGATTGATTATTCTCACATCATAGACAGAAGTATGTGTATATCAGCATTTCTAAAAATGGAAAGAGGTGGGTGGGGCCACTGCGTTTGAGTCAGTAAATGTAGCAATATCTCAGCAAATAGAAAAGATAGGAGATTCTTATTTTATATTCTAGCTTGTTAATATCTGTAATTTGAGTTCCTAATTTGTAAGAAACTATAAACTTTGTATTTGAACATAACAAACATCTAATTTGAACCAATGCTGCATTCAACATACCACGTGACACAAAAATTAATATTTAGATATAATACTAAAATTTGAATTATAATATACAATCTGATACCAAACTTATTGACACAAGTTCATAAAACTGATGAATAAAATTTTGAATTAGAGTCAATAAACATGATCATATGGCCTTTGACCCGTGACAATAGGGTTAAAGTGAAGTGCAACTAACATTTCATTTTGCACTCTTCAGCTTAAAAACTAACCACTTTCAGTTTGTGATCAATATTTTAATCGAACAATTGCATCATAATTACTGTATGCAATGCAATCATAAACTACGTTAACATCTGCCACACCAGACAAAATATGAAAGAAACAATAATAGTCTAGTGTACAGAAACGTAAGTATAATTGATCAAACTCAACACTACACAGTTCATCCAACTACAACTAATTTGTATCTGCATATTTGGGTTGTAACATTTAAGAAAACATATTTACATATTTGTGCAATTGAACGTTTTGAGCAGGAATGTTCATGTACCAATAAATAAATAGTTATTCCTTTTCCTATAAATACATTACTGATCTATTACCAATTATTTGAAAAATATGATTATAGTTTGATAAACAATTTTACAATTGAAATAAAAAAACAATTATGTAATTTTTACTGGTTAAAAGAAACATTTCAACTGTAAAGCTGTTTATATCAAATTTAAATCACCCATCTCTTAATACTAATGATTAAAGTATATTGGGCAAAAAGTTCTGAAACTGGTATAGCCAACAGCATCTGCACCATACACACTTGTACACAATAATTTTAATTGTAACTTCCTTATTTTGCCCACATTTTCTGATTACTGAATATTCCCACAGTATATACAATCCTTGACTTATGGAACAGAAGCAAAAATCTTAATGTAGGTCTTTCAATATACCTGCAGTAACGTTATTAATTGTACTGTAGTTAAAAAAATAGTGCATCTATTTCACATTTTCTTAATTAGATTGATAATAGAATAACCAGTATTTTAGTTAAACACAAATATATTAAATTAATGAGGAGTTCAAAGATTTGAATTATTTGTTGAACTGGGCTACACACAACAGATGTCTCTTAACCTAATAAAGTTATTACACCAATTATTTTTGTAGTTTTATAAAGGAAACTAAATGACGTTGAATCATTCATAAGGTTCAAGTTGAAAGGTTTATCGTGTACAAGTCAGAGAAACTCATCCCTTCACATTATAAGATGTTGTTTAGGTTTCATTCAGAATATGGCCTATTCAGTTTGATGTTTTTGTAAGGGAAATGGGAAATTATCAACATTTCATCGTAGAAAAAGGCATATTTATTGATGTTTTTCAAAATGTAAAAGATTTTGAAACCCATTTCCATAACTGCATACAGTAAGATTAAAGAACACTTAAAATATGAAAAACAATTTCAGTTAAGACTGTGCTACTTTTCTAATAGGGTGAAGGGTCATCCTTCTGAAAATTCAACATTCAAATAAGAATTTAAGACTATGATCACCTACTCGCCCCTGACAAGTGCATTTTCTCTTGGTGAGCAAGTCAAAACAGTGACTATTTTTTTTAGCAATTACCGTAGTTTACTTAATATTTGCAGGAATTATCTTTCATGGTTTTACACTGAAACTTGTTTTACGGGTTTTAACTTTTGTAGAAAAATTAAATTGAATATACATCAATTTTCCATTACATGAATTTAGAAAAGTTTTTAAGACATTCTGTTCTTCTGAGCAACATTTTTCATACTTACTATAAGCCTTTGTAATCACACTGTGCAATTGAATTGATGTGTTGATAATCCACCTACTAAAAGCAATGAACTTCTCTGGGCATGTTACTGCAGGTGCTACATGTACTTACCTGACTACAGCTTATGTCTCCTCATTGTTTGCTGTTTCCAGATTACAAGTTATTATCTGCATATAGCATATTGAGAACAGTTTCTCAAATGGCTATGCAGATATAAAATTACTTGCAATTTTTTGGCAACATCAAACAACGAACCATCACAACTTCATTACGTACCTCTCAAAAATGTCTTTGTGGAAATGTATAAAAATCATCTGAAAAAAATGTTTCCATTAGTGGTATGCCAACAAAGTTGTATTTGTTAGGAGACAGCCCACATACGGAGAACCACCACATGAACATTGACACCCAGACGGCCATTTTGAAACCAGTTCGTGCACATTGGCTTATTAAAGCCAAGAGGTAATTTGTAAATGATGCAAACTGATCTAATGAAGTTTTGTATGTTCCCATAGATTGTTGAGTGTAAAAAAACTTTTGTAATTTGACTCACGAATGTCACTTATACAGTGCTCCATTTCATTATCGTGCTAAAGAATAAATAATATTTACTTGTATATATCTATTTGGGTTTCATTTATCACTCGTAAAGACTTTATTTTGCTGGAACATTCCACAAAACTAGCAAATGTTAATTTCATGCAAATAATAAGTAACTTACGGTATCATTCAAAACTGAATGATTTAATATCTATTTTCCTTATTAAAAATAACTCAGTCCAGAAAAAAACCTGAGACTAGTGTGGAATTATCTAACACTAATTAACTTTAATTACATGATCTATTGGTAATGCATCATAAAATTATCATAAATCTGTTTCAGATTGTTTTAGTGATATAATATCAGCTTGTGTGACAAAAACAAAAATGGTGAAAGGCTCCATTCAAAGTATCATCCAAAATCTGTTCCTCACATAAAATGTATAGAAGAATTTTATGAAAATGCTCAGTGCCTAAAAGTTATAACTTTAATTAATTATAATTGAATATCATTAACACTAAACATGTCTTTGCTAAGGTGCACAAATTACTTAATTAGCATCATATATATATATATATATATATATATATATATATAATTATTTACTATCTATATACAACAACTATTACACGACTACAACTAAAAGATAACATAACTAAAACTAAACGAAAGTAGTTAGGTACGTTTAATTA